CTGTGCTGATGGGGCTGCAGAGCCTGTCATTGGCAACACAGCACCATCCTACTTTAGAGTAAATAAAACTATTTCAAGCAAACTGGAATCTAAATGACAGAAAGTGCCACAGATGGAACACACTGGGAATGCTGCATTGTTCATAGTCCCCACGGCCTGGGAATGGAGTGACTCCAAAATGCTGGCAGTGGACCCAAGCTGACTATCACCATGCATTCGTAGAACAAGCCAACGGAATCGTATTCATCTTTGGGAATAAGAAGAAGCTCCTTTATTCTCTGTTACAACAAGAATCAAATCTATCCGATGTGATCAGTGTTTACTTTTTTTCTTTAGAGAGGGGGAGGGGGAGAGGGAGAGGGAGAGAGAATCTCAAGCAGACTCCCCACTGAGCACAGAGCCCAATGTGGGGCTCCATCTCACGTCCCTGAGATCATGACCTGAGCCAAAATCAAGAGTCAGATGCTCAACCAACTGCACCACCCAGGTGCCCCCCAAAAAAGCTTCCCTCTTAACTGCACTCAATGCCCATTATTTTTCCTTCTCCTATACTTTCTTTTCTCTTCAGAGATGTCTCTAGAAAGGAAACACATGGCCCTCAACCAGTTGACCTTTAAATTCTGCAGAACTCTCCGAAATATATTTTGTTTACGGTAAGCTTTAAGAGACCCAAGGCAGCCTCTTTAGGAAAGTCATGATGATTGGTTAAAAAACAAAATTAAATGTAAATAAAAGTATTGCTTAGCATATCAGGAATGGCAAAAGTAGGTCTGAGGACTTTTTCTGGAAGAACCTAAGGCTAACACTATGTTACCTGGCTTTAGGATATTGCTTATTGTTTTTACAACCAAGCACTGCCTTATTTCCTGTTCTCCTTTTTTATCTATTAGTCCAAGAAGACATCAGAGGAGAATAAAAGAGGGAAAAGGGTTTATGAAAACAGAAAATGGAAGGCCATTTCTTTCCAAGTAGTGATCAGGCAAGACCAACCCCCTGAAATTCCTAGGAGATCTAGATCTACCAACGCAGGAGGTCTATTCTGCCTAGCTCTGGACAAAACACGTATAATTGCCCCACACTGGTGTGTGACCTGTTGTGTCACCTACCCCTAATTACACAGTGGATCCTACCTCCTGCGCTTCCTCTCCCAATCACTACTATCAGTTGTTCTGGGCCCAGGAGATCAGATATTCAGATTTACCATCTCCAGCTCCCCGCTAATACCAGAACTCTTAGCCTGGCTAAAGGAAGGAAAACAGTGGCCTACCTTTCACTGCTGAATAGTTTCAGCCCTGACTTCTTTCTGATTTGAGAGTCCAATAAAACCTAATCTCTTGATAAAGCTTTAAAAAAAATAAATGAAGGGTCGCCTGGGTGGCTCAGTTGGTTAAGCATCTGCCTTCGGCTCAGGTCATGATCTCAGGGTCCTGGGATCAAGCTCCACGTTGGGTTCTCTGCTCAGCAGGGAGTCTGCTTCTCCCTCTCCCTCTGCCCTCCCCCCTGCTAATGTTCTCTCTCTCTCTCTCAAATAAATAAAATCTTTAATGAACAAGCAAACAAATAAACAAAGACGTTTATAATGGCAGAGCACACTGGCTCGAGACAGGGGTTAGGAACTGGGACAAATAATTGGTGATGTAAAATAGCTTCCCTATCCTAGCCTCTTTTGTATCCTCAGGTCCTTTCTTCTGCATCTACCTGCCCTCTCCTCCTTTTTAAAAAATTTTATTTTAATTCTAGTATAGTTAACATACAGTGTTAGATTAGTTTCGGGTGTACAATATAGTGATTCAACAATTCCATACATCCATCTATTTTTAACTTTTTAAACTTTTTAACTTTTTGAGGAACCTCCATACTGTTTTCCAGAGTGGCTGCACCAGCTTGCATTCCCACCAACAGTGTAGGAGGGTTCCTTTTTCTCCACATCCTCACCAACACCTGTCGTTTCTTGTGTTTTTAATTTTAGCCATTCTGACAGGTGTGAGGTGATACCTCATTGTGGTTTTGATTTGTATTTCCCTGATGATGAGTGATGTTGTGCATCTTTTCATGTGTCTGTTGGCCAGCTGGATGTCTCCTTTGGAAAAATGTCTGTTCATGTCTTCTGTCCATTTTTTTAATTGGTTTATTTGGTTTTGGGGTGTTAAGTTGTATCAGTTCTTTACATATTTTGGATATCAGCCCTTTATCCAATATGTCATTTGCAAATATCTTCTCCCATTCAGTAGGCTGTCTTAGTTTTGTTGATGCTTTCCTTTGCTGTCCAGGATCTTTTTATTTTGATGTAGTCACAATAATTTATTTTTGCGTTTGTTTCCCTTGCCTCAGAAGACTTATCTAGAAAAATGGTATTTGCCCTCTCCCTTTTTTCTCTTCCTTTTGACCTCTTCCCTACACTATCCTACTGTCAGTTAGTGACTGCCAAAGGCACCTGATTGCTAAATTATTTGTCTTCTGGAGTCAAGACTATGAGCTCCCTTCTCCTTTTCACTCATTTGTCAGCTGAGCGGCCAGCAAGAAGGTTTAGCCCAAATTAGTACACAGTGATCCACTAGCTCCCTGAGCTCTGGTGTTTATTGAGCAACGCTCTGTACCAGGTGCAAGGGAAGAGAAGAAAGCCTGTCCTTTCTGCAAGAAGCCTGTGTCCCAACAGAGGAAAACAAACATACAAATAACTAAGTCTAACACAAAAGAGAATCACAGAGATGAAAATACAGTGGGGAAAGTGATCAGATACTAACGAACAGTGATTTCACCAATCCCTACCAGATTATACTGCAGAAAAAAAATTTTTTCGGGGCACCTGTGTGGCTCGGTTGTTAAACATCTGCCTTAGCTCAGGTCATGATCCCAGGGTCCTGGGATTAAGCCTCGCATTGGGCTCCCTGCTCAGTGGGGAGTCTGCTTCTCCCTCTCCCCCTTCCCCTGTTCGTGTTCCCTCTCTTGCTGTCTCTCTCTGTGTTAAATAAATAAAATCTTTAAAAAAAAAAAAAAAGAAAAAAGTTTTTTCTAAAAACCCTCAAACAGACAAAAGTGCAAAACAAAGACTTGTTGGATGTCATACAAAGACATCTTCAACCTCAAAAAGCACCTCTCCTCCCAAATTTTTGCAAGGGGCGAGGCATTGCATGGTACAAATGCTTACGCTTTACCAGAAAAGGAACTACATAGATAGAAGACCAGGGTAACTTCTTGTAATGTTATGTTCCCACCTGTAGGGACTCTTATACAAGATAAGCATTTATTTTGCTGCAAGATGCTACAAATAAAGCTGCTTAAGTTGAGTCGCACAGTGCAGACAAGCAAAGCCCCCAGGTCTACACAACATAAGGAGGGGGAGCGGGATGTCCCACTGGTAGGTTATTCCCCTTCCTTTCTTTTCGTTATCCGGGGAATTAAGGGAGTTCACAGAGAGTGGGCCTGAGTGAGTAATAAATATAAACATTTTCTAGTGTTGGGTAATAGGACACATGGAAAGGGCAGGACCACTGGGAGAAGACAGGAATGCAGGAGGGAGAAGGGCACCAGTCAGAGGCAGCATCTGAGGCCCCAGAGGCCCTGCCTATAAATAATTGCTTTTCCCCACGTCCTCTCACATCTTCCCGAAGTTAGAGTCAGATTCCTGGCCAAAGGCTACATCGCACTCCTGCACTCTTGTGTTGTCCTTTCCCAAAAGGCGCCATTCTGACATTCCCGTAATGCAGTGGGGTGGGGGCTGTCTGTGACCAGCAGGGATTTGGGAGGGGTCTGGGAGGCCAGTGCCCCCTTGTACGATTCCTGCCTCCCATTTGCCAGCCTTTTGAATCTCTGTGCTCGCGCTTCCTCATCTGGAAAATGGGGACAGTGATGATGATGATGATAACTATCAATCATAATATAGACACAGTGCTAAGTGCTTACGTGCATTACTCATGTACTCTTCAGAGAAAAACTTTGAGTCAGTATTAATCATTATTATAAGTAATAATAACACTTCCTCCTTTGCAGATGAAGAAGTTGCAACTCTGAGAGGGGTTAATTAACTTACCCAAGGTCTAACCTCACTGCCTGAACACTTGATTCCTTGTACTTTTGTGACAATACCTGTCTAAACAGGGTATTGAAGGGGTTAACATTAATGTACATGGACACCAATTAATGCTATTGTCATTATTTTGGGTGCTATTGCTGTAGACGGTGATATTGTTTTTGTTGCTTTTCTCTTTCCAGATGCTGAGAGTTCTGAAGTCTATTAAGCACAAATCATCAACCTCTACACTGGCAAGTCCAAACTAATGCCTTGGGGACATTTTCGAGCACCAAGAAACAAAACCAATATACCTGTTAGGTGTTTCACTGTTAAGGTATGTCTACTGAGGATGAATGAGAGATCAAAAGACAGGGAAATGGGCTTCAGTACTAGTATTTCAACTTACTACCTAACATGGTCCCCAATGCTTATGTTTTCAAAAAGCTCAGAATGACAAAATGGAATGGACACTGTTCTTACACGTTTCACTTAAATTTCCTAAGTTAAAATAATGTATCATATGCTAACTTTTGACTACCCAAACTGTACTATTGCTCCATCCTTATCTTTTAATTCACTTTTCATTATCATGAAATAACTATGATAAAGGTTTAAACCTCTGACGTGCTAACATGCCAGTCAGATTAAACACAGCAAGCATTTGGCATACACCTAGAGACTTCCTTAAGTAAAATAAAATTATTGCATTTCATCACTTCCTTCTTCTTGCCAACTAATGTCCCCGTGTCTGAAAGGGTCATTTTCAAGGCACATATCGATTTATAATAGTGTATTCACTGTCTTCCTTCCTCTGGCACAATGTCTGTGACCTTGACCATTTCAGGACAGATAGAATAGTGCCATCAACATATGTCGATGAAGCTCCAGACATCTCATAAGAGAGTTCATAGTTATTAAAGCAATAAAGAGTGACAAGGAGAGGTCTATACTATAATACTGCCTGTCAAGAGAAAAATGTCACACTTACCATAAAGTACCCAGAGGCATAATTAGGGGTAGAAAGAGGAATGATTTCTTGAACACAGTAATGAGGGGCTAGGGTAAAACATGGCAGCAAGGGAAGATGCCTTCTGCCCAACACGCCTGAGTGGAATCTCCGTCCACAACAAAGGGTCCAGATAAAAGTGATGATTCCACATCCAAAACGTGAAGCACCAGTGAATGCCCAAGTTAGCAGCACATGAAGACGTGCCAGTAAGAATTTCTGTGAAGAAATAAGATGTTCTAAATTGTCTAACTTTTCCCAACGGCATCAATATGAAAACTAAAATAATGAATCCTCCCAAGCACCTTCTAAGAACATTAAAGGAATTTAAACGTCACAGTTCCTGAATGCTCATACCCATAAACATAAATCCAAACACCCCATAGAGCTATAAATAAATTCTGCCTGAAGGTCTCCTTCCTGTTCACATATGTCTCCATAAAATCTGGTAGGATCTCCTCCCTTTTACCCTAGCCTTTATCCTTGCCGTTCCTGTCTGTCAGGGACAGGAGGTAAAAAAAAAAAAAGACACAAATAAAATGGGCTCCAGATGCTTGTTCAGTTAACTGAAAAAGTCAGCTTACTTAGGACCAAAAAAAAAAACAAAAAACAAAAAACCAAAGTACCTCTGTAACCCAGCATTAAGTGCTTATGGCATTTCAGGGCCCCAGGCGAGTTTTGTGTCTCCTCAGCTGTCCTTCCAGTTCATTGTAAGATTCCGGGGCGCATGGCTGTAGACAGGGAGGGTCTCGACAGCAGCCCCACACCCTCTATCCTGGTCCTCGGCCCTTCTTTTCATGGCCGAGGGGAGCCCGGGGCAAGTCGACATCACCCCCTCTCCTGTGTTAGCAGCAGCTTCAAAGATGGAACAGCTTGTTTCCAAGTGACTTTTCTCACCTTCCAGAAAAATCATCTGTTCCTCACTTTTGCTATCAGTCTCATTCACCTGTCAGCACCCACTCCTATCCCAGCTCCTCCACTTCTCAGCTGTGGGACCTCTCTGGGCCTCAGTTTCCCCATCTGCAGAAGGAGGATAGCCACGGTGTCTACTGCTGCGGAGTCAGTTAAGTAGGTCTGTGTAGGGAATGTGCTTAGAACCGTCCCTAGGACACAGTCAGTACCAAGTCATTACTCTAGCTTCTTTTTATTTTTTTTAAATTTTATTTTATTATTAGTCACCATACATTACATCATTAGTTTTTGATGTAGTGTTCCATGACTCATCGTTTGCATATAACACCCAGTGCTCCATGCAGCATGTGCCCTCCTTAATACCCATCACCAGGCTAACCAATCCCCCTTCCCCACCCCCAGAACCCTGTTTGTTTCTCAGAGTCCATAGTCTCTCATGGTTCATCTCCCCCTCCGATTCCCCCCCTTCATTTTTCCCTTCCTTCTCCTAATGTCCTCCATGCTATTCCTTATGTTCCACAAATAAGTGAAACCATACGATAATTGACTTTCTCTGCTTGACTTATTTCACTTAGCATAATCTCCTCCAGTCCGATCCATGTTGAGGCAAAAGTTGTGTATTCATCCTTTCTGATGGCTGACATCACTCTAGCTTCTAGTACTCTCACCAGTGGGAGTAGCAGCGACTAGCAGGAGTAATGGTAGTATTCTCTGTCACCAACACAAGGGACCCCAGTGCTGTTATCTTTCCCTCTTTAGATTAGGTGGAGGGTGAATAGTTCAGCCCCCCCCCCCCCTTAAGAGTCTGACTTAGAACAAAGCCTACTGCCAGTGTTCTGGGACCTTTACCGGAAGGTTTTCATTTTCTCTTGATAGGAGGCACTGTCTGTTGAAAGCATCCTTGCCACCTCTCTAGTATTAACAACTACCAAACGTGACTAGAGAATCATAAACATGTCAGTGATTTGGTTCCAGGGGTTTACATCATGATGGAAATAGTCAAGGTCACAAACAATAGGATTGAAGGAAGACAGCACCTCCATGATACCAAAGCCCATGGGGACCTTTTAGGATTTTCATCCTCTATACCACCTGGGTTTGATGGATCAATTGTTCCCTGACTACATTTTGTATTTTGAATAACGCTCCAGTTTATGGGATTGAATCAGGGTGATAACAGCAAATGGCAGAAAAATAGTGGTCTAAAATCATTCCCAAACCCAAACCTCTTCTCTCAGAATGAAGTCTAGGGCTGTGGCAAATAGACTGGCACATCATTTGCTTCTTCTGCCCCAAATTTCTAGTAACACTCAGAGGCTGGGGTTTTAAAATATTTTACCTGAGGCTTAAAATAATAATAGATCCAATCGCTTAAATCCTTTTTTGTTCATCCAATATTTGAAATTTTTATAAGCTCTAAAATAATATGCTCTGATCACTGAAAATTTCATTTTATGGGATCCTATAATTTCAACACATGTCTTAACCTAATTTATTCTTGTTTCACCTTAAATCTAGAGGGATCCTGGCACCAGCCAAAGTAGACGTGGTCAGAGTCACTGACATAGACTGACTTACTTAGCCATTGTACACATTCTTCACTGTAGGAGGGGAGATGTGTTCAGAAATGAGTAACTGAAAATGATAATAAACGAATAATATTATACTATGAAATTTTCTTTCAAAATTAAATATGTCCTTACCTTGCTGTGGATGGACTAAAATGGTCAGAAGACAATGTCTCCTGGTGGTGGATTGATCCACGGGCAACTGTTCTCAACCCATGGTCCCCACTAGAGGGATTCAGACAACTGCCTGTGGATGGTGAGAGAGGGTCATGTCTACCACTGCCTCAAATCAACACATCCAAAACCCAAAAGACTATACAATGGGCTCTTCACTCAAGTCCAAGTGTCGTAACCCATCTCATACAGTGATGTAATCCATTCTGTACAACATCAAAGTGTGGCAAGGAATCGCGAGTGGCATCCCTAGACTAACTCATTCCTAGGTACTAACCATGGGAGTGGGACACACTCCCTTACTTTTGGGAGCCCCAGATGGCACACCAGCAATAGTGAGTGAGTGATTCCCCCCCCCCCACCCTTCTATGCATTCTCTCCCTCTCCCTTGGAGTTCTTCTCTCCCTGTGTTCTCCACTTCTCTGGGGTCCTGACCATCAGAGCGGGTTTCCAGTTATACTCATTATCTTGTCCCCATGGTTCCATGGCTACATAGGGAAGATTTAGATGTCTGTGGGTAGAGATGGTTGGGGAGGAGTCCCTCACAACGATCTGGTCTCTGAGTGAGACCACCTTACATTGTAAAAGTTAATCTCCTGTTAGTATCATTTCCCTACCTTATTAAGTTAAAAGAGGGGAGGCCTCCCTCCTAGCTTTGCATTATATTTCAAAAAGCTGCCTTCAGTTACCATATTACCCTAGATAAAGTAGCTGCCCCAACCCTCTCTATTCCATTAATTCGATTTATTTTATTCTTGGCATTTAACATTAGATAAAATTTGTATGAACATTTTTACATCCTAATTGTCTCTGTGCCCATCTTCCCCCTGACCCCAGCCCTCCTAGAATATAAGCTCTATGGGAACATGGGCATCACCTCTCTTAGGATATTCACTGTTTTATACCCAATTCCTATAAAGGTGCCTGGCACACAATAGGAAAGTTCCAGATCTGTGTTGCCAATTATTTACTGGTTTATCATATGGGCACCTCAATTACAACTTGGAAAAAGCTGAATCCAGGGAAGAGTTTCCAGAAAATTGACTCTTCCTCATTTATTTTCTACCATCTACCATTCTCCCCAACTAGAAAATTCAGTCATCCTAGAATTAACTTCTCTTTCTTCTTTGTCCACCTCCCCACATTCCTATCCTCTTTCACCATTTTCCTCCTTGCTTTCCCTTCGTGCATCTCACCCCCTCCATCCCTTCACCCATCTAACGGGCTTTCAACTCAAGCCAGGTTTTCCTCCTCAATCATGGCGCCTTCCCACCGATAAGTGTCACCACATCTGTGAGGCCTTTTCCTCACCACTGCAGTCGGCAGCTGTCATCCCATCACACCCGTTTGTCTCGTGATTCGGTGAGTGCTTTCTAGGTCCTTTTAGGGTCGCACACCTTCTTGAGAATCTGATAAAGGTCATAGCCCCCCCCCCCCCAAAAAAATCCACATGCTCTTAAATTTCTATGTAAAATGTCAGGACTCTACATTTTAAACCCTTTACTATAACAAGCATCATGGTTATTTTGTTATAACTCTCTACTTACACACCTGTCTTCCTCACGAGAGTGTACGCCATTCTAAGACATGTTTGTATCATGTTTTATCTTCTTCCTTCAATCCCTTTGTGTGGAGCACTGTGTTTGGTATGCACACGGTACTAAAAAAGGTAATGGACTATCTGGTGCAATATTTAGGTATTAGATTAATACAGCATTTCCAAATAATAGTCACTTGAATAACACTCTCCTAATTTTTGCCACATCTGCTACAATTTGTCCTATTACTTACTTACCTCTTGTGGTAGGTTATTTGCAAAATTAATGCCAAAGATTCTTTCTACCTCTGAACAGGTGTGCCGCTAACCTCCCCAAAAGATGTAAAGTCTATTTCTCTGCTCGTTGGGTCCAGACTTGTCCTGTCACTTGCTTTACCCAATGAAATGGAGCAGGAGTAATGCTGTTTGACTTCCAGGTCTAGGCCTGAAGAGACTTTGCAGCTTTCTATTTCAATCTCTGGAGATCCATCCGCGATGTAAAAAAGCTCTGGGCGGACTATGAAGTGCTGAGAGGCCAGGTGGAGAGAGAGAGGCTCAACCCGCTTCAGCCCTTCCAGCCACTCCAGCTGGGCTGGCAGACATGAGGGAAGATGTCTTGCACCTTCCAGTGCCATCCAAGTTGTCAAGATGAAGGAATGACCCCAGCAGACATCATGTGGAGGAGAAGAATTGCCCATGTGAGCCTAGCTGACCCATAGAATCCTAATAATTAAATCACTGTTGCTTAAGCCATTAGGTTTGGGGTAGCTTGTGAAACAGCAATGGATAACTGATTACTTAAATATACTTTTTTAAACTTAAGTATATGTTAAAAGAAAATTTTTGTCACTTCCATAGATAGAAAATTAGTATCGCTTTTTTTAATGAAACTAAACGCAATGAAAAAAAAGAACAAAATAATACTATTCACTTCTAGCTAATACTGCTGCATATGGAAGCCTCTATATTAGTTCCAAAGGAAGATCCCCAAATGTCAGAGAGTTATGAAAAATACACCAGAAGTAAACTGGAACTCTCTCTTTGGTGTAAACTGGACTGGAAACAAATAGAATGAAAATAGCATGCTCACTCATCCTGAAATGTGATATTATTTATCACCAAAATTCATTATTGTGTGGCTATCAGTACTAGATAATAACAAAGGTGGTAAACAGCCATGGCAAAATTGAGGAAGTTACTCAAACGACTGACATTTGGAAGATGCTGTATCAACCTAACACCTAAACATTAGGACAGGCAGGCAGTCAACACTTCTTTTAGTACCTTCTACACAACAACACAATGCTAAACGGAGAGGGGTTTGAATGAAAGATAAAACATAATGCAATCCTGTCCTAGAAATACTTATATTCTACTGGAGGAGACAAGAATGTGAGTAAATGGTGACAACTCATTAACCATGATAAATGTAACTGTATTAGTTTATTTAAATTTAATTTAAATTTATTTAAATTTAAAGCCCATGGACTCAGATTCCAAATCTCTTACATTTTGTGTACAAGTTTGAGGGTAGATGGCTATTTCGTGGCCCATAACTTTCATCAGATTCTCAAAGGAGTCCACTGGAGTCCCATGCCATAATTTGGGAAACACTGGATCAGATAATATGTACTATTGTTCTTGGTTCAACGGCTTCTACCTCAAGACTTTTCCACATTGCCTGGACATTCTTTTTTAGTTTGTAACTCTGAAATCAAAACTCTAACCTTCCCTTTTCCTCTTTACGGTTTTATACCTGTCTCACATAACTATACAAAAGTTCTCTTAAATTCCCTGATGACCAAACTCCTCTATCTCAACTATATTTTAAGCTCTTTGAAGCTAGAGACATGTCCTCTAACTTCCTGCCTTCTATTATCAATAAACATCTGTTAAATGAAGAATAAACCTCCTAGAACTCCTGCAGGAAGTTTCTCCTGCTGTCTAGGA